AATATTAAAAGAATTGTGTCAGAGTATTGTTCCTACACTTTAGAGGATTACCTAAAAGGAATTGCTTTAAACCTGGAGATGCAAGTGTGATATTAACAAAGAAAGTTTAAGTTACTATAAGCTAACAAGTTCAATTTCTAAGTTACACAAATATTTTAGTTTTTCGAGCAGAAAATAGTTTTTCAATAGGTTCAGAGAAAAAAAAATGTCAAAAATGAAAATAGTACAGAATAAAAGAAACACATTTTTGAAAATTAAAAGAGAAATTATAAGTATTAACATTCAACTCAAAAGCACATCAATGTTTTAGTTTTTCAGAGATGAAATAATTATTAATGGATTCAAAGAAAGGAAATGTAAAAACTGAAAATACAAATAGAAGAAATGTATTTTTGTATTAATTAAATAAGTCAAGAACATGAACCGTTATTAGTTTCAATTGCTTTTGTTATATAAAGAAAGTTATCAAATGCGTGTCGTCCTTCTCCTGTCTGATTATGAGTCATAACTATGTTTCTGCCAAACACTTTAGACTAACAGACAGAAAGTTATTAAAAATATGCTTTTTTTTTTAATGTAGAAAACTGAATATATAGAAGTTTCATGTATTGGGATACTTGGTCCAAAGATACTTCCTTGACAGAACAGGCTAGAACAGGTTAGGTGAGGCTAAATTAGAACTTCAATGCTGCTATGGGTTACAAAAGCTTAGTACTCAAACGTTATGAAGCTTAAGTGGAGTCTTCGAGAAGTCGTCGTTTCAAGAAAATGTTCATAATTCAATATTACATACGAATTGTGAAATATTGAACATTGGTATGTGGGAAAACGGGGTATAAGATACATGGAAACGTTATAAGGTAAACGGGATTCGAGGAAACGGAATACGCGAAAAGATTCATACGGGGAAACGGGGTACGGTGAAACGGCAGACGTGGGAATGTACATACGGGGAAATGGATACGGTCAGATGTCTATGAAGAGCCAATTCTATCTGTGCCAGCCTCTTCTATGGACCATTCTGAGTTTCTGCGTTAAGAGATCTTTAAAAATTTCAACGAGAAAACCGTAGATCCAACCGTTTGCGAGATACAGCCCGCCGAAGGTGAAATGTCGCGTATTTTCAGAATCCAAGAACGGGGATTCCTTCTACGTGGCCCTAACTTTGACTTTTGACATTTTTCTTATATAATTGATAAATGGGGAGTACTCACCGGAGCTGATGCAGCTAATCCGAGAAGGCCGAGAAGCATATCCAGAGGACACTCGGGTGTGCACTTCACTAGGTCACAGCACTACACGTCCGGAACACGCACGAGAAATCCATAGAATTTCCTGGATATCGCGAGAAAAACGCGAGAGCTACACGAGCGAGAACTTTCTATACCGTAGCGAAAAACAGATAGCAAGAGACGTTTCACGACGCCCTACGTCACACTTTATTTCGTAAATGAAGGTAAAGGATAAAGAGTATAGAAAGAGATGTCTTCG